AGTTGAGACATAGACAAACTGTCCTGTGGAGTAGACAGACACTCGACCAGAGTCAAGATAAACAGGGAGGTTTCTGATCTCTTCATCAACCTAATTGAAGAAAAAGTTGAGCTTGTTCATACAACCATTCTTATCAATAATTACATTGATTACAGTGAGTGGGACTTGCTTATTTTAACAGCAGAGCTTACCTTAACAGCAGAATAACCGTTCATGTCCTGTGACATGTGCACAAGATGCCCAGAGACACTAACAAAAACTTCAACAGTTATGGACACAGACCATCCATTCCATGCTGCATTTCTTGCATCAACTTGGAAGTGTGGTAGTCCACGGGTATCATTGCACACTGTGGCTAGCACATATCGGCATGTGCCTTGAAAGTCAAAGTAGGTTCTATCAAAGGAGATATAATGTGGATCTCCAGAAGCATAACAGCTACCGTGTGGATGAGGATGGCAGCCATACTCCCCCTCCACCACACTGCAGATTTCTTGGTCACTGCAAGATGATGGTGTGCAATAGACATTTCCAGTGATTCCATCACAGACACACTGGAACTGGCACTCTTCACCATGCCAGAACTGCTCTCCAGGCTGCCGATAGCGACCATCATAGTGGCAGCCGCAACCAGTGGGAGGAACACAGCGATCTCCATCCAGCACCAGTCCATCATCGCACTGGCATCCCCCCTGGCATGGCAGAGCGCACTGGAAGGGAAACGAGAGGCTAGGGCAAGACGCAGGACAGGATGTGCCACACAGTTCAAAATGGGTATTTGCTGGACAGTTGGGATCTGAGATAATGAAGACAAAACGGAATGGAAAGGCAATGAATGATCAGAATTTTGAAGAGATATATAGTTTTAATTCAGAAAATCTTACCACCTCAAAAGACACTAACCACAGTGGGTGATACTCCTCCACTCTCCAACTGCAATGGCGTTCTGTTGGCAGTGTAGTGTGTACCCTCGCAGGGCTTCACATAGAGCCTCCCTGGCACCCTCCGTCTGCTCCAGCATCTGAATGCAGTCTTCAATCCGCTGCCAAGGGTCTAGTGTTCTGCTGCATTCAGCAAACGGTCCATTGTTCATTGTCATGATGCTGCAGAGCTCACTGAACTTGCTTCTGTTCTGATAAAGTCCTGGTTCCCAAATGTCAGCTGGGTCCTCACAGTGGGCTGACAGGGATCCATCACGCCAGCTATCTGCAAATAGCTGGGAGTCATCCAGCAGGACCCCATCCGGGCTGTAGAATTCATCATCGGTGTTTCCATTCAAGTTTCCACACAGACCTCCAAGTGTACCATTGTAAGTGGTTGGAGCCGTGATTCGGACAATGTGCGGCCAGTCAGCTCTAATGGTCACTCCAAAGTTTGTCTCCAACACGAAACCCCTCACACTACTGTGATAGATGTGGATCTGACTGGAACCAACACTGATGGGAAGGCCAACCATCTGTCCATCCACCTGAGAAGAATATAAAAGTTAATTGATCTAGCGTATGAGTTTGAAATAATTTAGTTAAACTGCTCCAAATAAATGACAAGCCAAGATTGTTTAGCTAACCTGTACATTGCTACCTTCTCCCAATTCAATGGAAACATGAGTTCCTCCTGCCTCAAAATTTAGGAACCTGGAAAAGTCTTGAAGGCCTCTGGGTACTTTCTCCACTGTCAAAACAAAGTATGACAGTTGGGATGGCCCCATCACTCTTGCAAGGGTCAGTCCACAAGCTCCTGGGTATCTGAAAGTTTGTCCATCAAAGGTGTGGTATGAACCCAGGCCTTCAACCGAACAGGTAGCATAACTGATGGGTCTGCAGCCCCTCACACCGTTATGGAGTCCACACACCTCTGCTGGACCACATTGGTGCTGATAGCAGAACATTGACCTGCTACTGCAAACACATTGTCTCCCACAGTCCTCGTCCAACACTACTGACTGTCCCTCGGAGTAATAGAAGCCCTCAAATGTGCAGCCACAGTTTACTTCAGGCACACATTGTCCAGCACTGAGGATGTACCCATCATCACAAATACAGCTCTCCTGATTAGGCAAGGGACAGTTTATTGGGGCAGATGGGTTGCTGCAAGTTGCAGGGCAGCTTGTTCCAAGGGACTCAAAATGACTGTGCTCAGGGCATATGATTTCTGGAAATGGAAAGCAAAATTAGGAATATGCATCAAACTCTGAAATATTTGTGCAAGGTAAACGATCCAGTTACATTAAGCTGAATGCCAAATTTACTTAAAGATGGCAAAAATAATAAAGTAAAATAAAGATGGCACTTACCACAAAAGCCTGGTTGCCTCCAATGTCCAAGTTGCACACCCTGCTGTTGGCATTGAGCAGAATACACATTGAGAGCCTGGCAGAGAATAGGCTGGTAACCTCCTCCTAAGCAAAGATCATAGACACAGTTCTCTGTGTAGGTCTGTGGTGAAAACACAGAATGGCAGGATGCAAAAGGCCCTGAAACATCTCCCAGGATTCCACAGTGATTTGTGTCACTGTAAAGGCTCATTTCACTGTTGGTACAAACCGCATAATCGAGACCTGTGCACCTGACATCATGGCATTCAGGATCTGTGTCCCCCTCGACCTTCCAAGAGTTGGCAAAGTCAACATCCGAGCTCAAGATCTCCCCAGAGACTGAACGGAAGTCATCTTCAGGATGAAGGTTATAGTTCCCACACAGACCACATGTGGCATTCTGGTAGTCATAAGGTACAGAGATGGTGACATAGCTATATGCATCATAGGTCACTAGGAGACCAAAATCTGTGCTGATGGCCAAGGAAAACCCTGACTGATAGACTTGGATGGAGCCATTGTGGAGGGTGAATGGTGTTGCTAGAAAGGTCCCATTAACCTTGACAATGTTGACAAAAAAGACATTAGGAAGATGGGTGGATGGCTGAACTCAAATTTACAGCAATTACAGCAATACATTGATAATTACCTTTGCCTCATAATTATGACCTTTGACTAGTTCAATTTCTTCATTATAGACAAATACTCTGACCATCCGAGTCCATGACACATGTGTACTACCCCGATGCTCATTTTTGCCCTCAATGCGATAGTACGGCAAACCATTTTCACATGCCTAAACAATGACAAAAATTCTGTAAAGGAAGTAAAGGATTCTACATTTTTTAAAACATCTGTTCTACAATAAATGGAAAGCCATAACAGCATTACTAACCTCAGACAGAACATATGTGCAGGTTCCTTGAAAGTGAAATATCTGATTGTCAAAGGTGTAGTAGTGAGGATCACCCGAGATGGTGCATGTTTGTCTCTGGATGTTCTGACAAGAGTATTGGAAAGCAGCTGGACGACAAGCTTGGGAATAAGTACAGGGCTCAAAGCTGCACTGGATGCCATTTCTGGTGCAGGAGCATCTCTGCTGACAGGTGGCATCACTCCAGAAGGAGTCTCCCAGCTGCACTGGGAAACCTATAACAAAGAGTTTATGGATATAAACACCAAAAATCTTTTGTGTAAATACTGGAAGGCTTCCCTTATGGCTCACTACTAGCATGATATAATTATATTTTAATAAGTCATTCAAAGTCTTTCTGCAATTAGCAAATATTGCATACAGTCAGGAAAACAGAGTTACCATTAAACTGACAACCACGTGTTCCATGATCTGTCCTGAAGGCCCATCTGCCTGGCACATTGACATTGCTGCTGTATGGTAGGCTTGTGATGTCATTCTGGAGTGATCCAGTAATTGAGAAATGGTGACTTGAGTCGATAGTGTCATAACCAGCCTAATGATAAGGAAGACATGCAGATGTCTGATTAGTTAGTCAAACTGTTCAATACATCATATTAATCTGTCATCTTGTGCCTACCTGTACATATCGTTGCGTTGGAGCAATTGCACCGTAGTTCATTACAACAAATGAGAGATGGCCATTTGAAATCAAAACCACTTGGAAAGATGTTTCCTAAAAAAAGACAAATAACAATAAGAATTTTTTTTTTTATTGTAGCAAGAAAACATGTGTTATACCAATTTTTATTTTTAAATGGGCATATGAAGGTCTCCATGGTACCAAATTGTGCTACTTACTGTTCCTGAATTGTAGTAGTATGCAACTCTATCCCATGTCGCAACAAAGACCCATGAAGCAGAGAAACTCAATTCAGGGAAGTATTGGTTTATGTCTTGGGTCGCCTGTGTAAGGACACTGCCAGAGGTGTATTGTCGATATGAGATAACACCATTCCAGCGGTTGTCAATATCTGTCCAGAATGGAGCAATGAGGTCTTTCCCTCCATAAGCTGGGAACTGGTATGGAGAGTAGCTGTACCATGCCCCGTCAAAAGTCAAGTGTCCATTGTTGTTTACCTGAAATAGAAGAGGTCTGATTATTAATATGTGGAAGATACTTTTAAAATATGCAAAATTATGCAGTGAATGGTCATTTTCCCTTGTACTTTTTCTCCAAGAGTACAATGTTTATAGACATAGGTATTAGACACTCGTAATCCAATATCCTCTCATATCAGATTGACTTACATAAATTTGGTTGTATGTTTGCCCAAAAAATATAAATGGCTGCTGGAGGTATATAACTGATGAACTCCGATCATCAATGCGTTCATTTACTAAGTCTCCATGTCCAAATGGATAAAATTGGCTCATAATATTGATGCTATTGTCTGAGAGAGAGAGAAAAAAAACAGTATTAAACATGTTTTAGTAATTTCATAGACATCATTTCAATTTAATTTACCTTAGTGTCCCCATCATAATATTTGCAATATCTGCATGATAAAATGCATAATATAGCATTATGACCAATAGTTGCACAGCTTTGATTTCCAGGGACTTACTTTAATACGACTGATAATATAAAAGCCTATATGGTCTTATAAATTGTTTTGAATTATGTACATGCATCACAAACTTATGACATGGATCTGATTTGCTCATGCCAAACAATAATCCTCCAGATTGTATCATAATACATTATATTACCAGTCATAGTGTCCATGGTTGTAGTTTCTGCTGTTGTAGTTTCATCTGTGGTTGTCTCTGGCATGACAGTAGTAGTGGTAGTGTTTATGTTGCTTGAATCTGAAATAAGTGATAAATATTAGATTAAAAAAACTATCTCTTACATAAACGAAGGGCACATTTAAATATATTTACCTGCACAGTATGCCAAATGGCAGTTAGTTGGGCTCACAAACTCATAGACATAATAATCTCCTGGACAGGCTTTGACTTTAATGGGATTGGATTGGAAATAGCAGCAGTTATTGCTCCAGTGACCGCAGACATCTCGAGTGACCACTCCATCCTCAACTGTTGGATGTCCTCCGTTCAGCCACAGAGGAGCATGAGTGCCACAACTATACTCATCAACACATGTGTCTGGCATCTGAACGCTCTGACCCTGAATGAAGAGACGGTACCAGCCGTTCCAGCTGACCCAAGCGTCACACATTATTTGAGAGGAATGTTGATTGTTGGTGGTGGCTCTCCATGAATCATTCAGAATATTGTAGTTGTAGCAGGGGTCAACAGGGGGAGCTGTTGTCATGGAAATATTAAAAATATATATTTTGCGGAATGAATTAATGTTTTTTTGTGTGTATTTTTTGTAGTGGTTATGTTATGAAACAGTTTATGCTTTTTACTTAAGCTCACTGTTTCATTTTAAGTTGAAGCTGAAGACAATTTGTCATGAGCTTTTAGAACATCTTCTCTTATCTAGCTGACAAAACGAGATAAAAACAGCTAAATTTGTGTCCCTTTGCAATTGAGCACAAGTATTGCAAGCAAATTGACTTCAAGAAGTCAGTGCTTTCAGAACACTCTTTGCCACTTATTTGCAAAAAAATTATTCTCATATGGTGGTATTCTACACAGACTGATGATTGAAAATTAGAATTTTGTTTGTTCTTTCAACTTTAAAACGTCTTTATTTTAGAACGGACACTGCTCCCATTAATCTGCAAAAATATCTTGTTCCTAGATCTCTGCTTTTGATTTAATCGCATGGCTTATTGCATGAATTACTTGCTAATTACTTAATTGTACATGTTTTCCATGTATTTCTCAAACTGGGGTCTGTCTAAGATAACCAGGGGGTCCAAAAATCATAGTAAGTGACATTAAGGAAAAGAACAACAATACTATGAAACTGTATGGATGTAAAAGGATATCAAATTACACTCTGATTCTTATTATATATAGGTTCATAGGGTTCATTTTTTAATCGATTGACAGCACTTATATAGTGCTATATATATATATATATATATATATATATATATATATATATATATATATATATATATTTCAGCCATAAGTGGTGTCAATCGATTAAAAATTAACTAGATTAATCACACATTTTTTCTGTGATTAATCACGATTAAAAACACTTAAAGGGTAAGTTTGGCGTTTTACAAGTAAAGCCCTGTTTTAAGATTGTTTCTGATTAAATCGAACGGTTAAGATTAAAATTTGGACACATGCTGCTCTCCCGAGAATTTTAGTTTTTTTTTGTTAGCACCCTCCCATTTACTTAATGTGAATTTACTTAATGTGATTAACAGGAACATTTCAAGAGATCATGTTTAATAAAAATGCATGTCCCAAAAGATGCTCAAGAGAGTTAATGAAGGAAGCAAGACAATACTTTACCAGTGGTTGTGATTGGTGGAGTAATGGATTCTATGGATGGGATCGTCTCTGTTGTTGATGAGATGGACTGGTTTGAGGCATCTGGTATTAGGAACATTTTATGTTAATGACAATAATTTAATTTAAATTCAAACAAAATCCAGAAAAGTTAATGGCTGAAGATCATATGAGTAAGTGCTCACCAACACAGTAAGCTCCACAAAATATTGGCTTGACAAACTCATAAACATAGTAATTTCCTGGACAGGCTTTGACTCTTATAGGGTGGGATGTGTAAGTACAGCAGCCATCCCATAAGGAGAGACAGACCTGACGGGTGACCACTCCATCTTCCAGCTGTGGGTGAGGGCCGTTGAGCGACAGTGGTTCATAAGTGCCACACGTGTACTGATTTACACATGATTCTGGCATCCGAGTATTTTCACCATTGTAGAACATCCTGTACCAGCCATTCCACTCCACATTATAATCACACATGCCATAGTAGTTATAGTTATTATAGTAAGAGTTGTCTGTGGATCTCCAAGGCTCATCCAGACTGGTATAGCTGTAGCAGGGGTCGACACTTGGGGTGGGGAAAGGCACTATTAAGGAAAAAATAGATAGAGAGCATTATATATTGCAGATTAAATATATTCAAATTAATAATATGAATATAAATCAATAAAATTCATGAAAAGCATGTCAGATATAAAGATGAATGAATGTACCTGCACAATATACAGGATCTGGGATTGAAAGAGTTGGTCTGGTAAATTTGTAGACATAATAATTTCCAGGACAAGCTTGGACTTGGATTGGGTCAGATCTGTAGCGACTGCACTGATCATTACGAGAGCCGTAAACTTCACGAGTAACAACTCCATCTTCTAGCCGAGGATGAGGGTCACCAAGCCACAGAGAACTATAACCTCCACATGACAAATAATAAAAACACCACTCAGGCATCTGAGCACTTGATCCATTAATGAAGAGTCGATACCAGCCGTCCCATTCTACACGAGTGTCATCATGATCGGATATGTATCCATACATAGACCAGTAATTGAGTGTGCTTCTCCAGTAGTTGTCGAGTGTGTTATAGTTATTGCACGGGTCATAATCTGTGTTAGTGAAAGATGATGAGACCAAAACAAACAAGTTATATTTCAATGAGGAACTTTACAAGTGCAAATCTGAACCAGTCAAACACTGTAATAATCATGAGATTCATAAACCATTCATACAAAATGCGACTGTGTAATAGTGAAAATGTTTGTGCATAAAAATGACCATTTAAACTGTATTGCAAATATTTAATTGCCAAAATATTTTTAATAACACTCATATATTCGTTCATATATATTTTTACAACTTACTCAATGTGATGCTGGATCCAGTGAATATATCTGGACTCACAGTGGAAACTGCCTGTGAAATAGTGCTGACATCTAAAGAAGGAAATTCATATCATGACAAACATCATTTACAAAATGTTTTGAAATCTGTGAAAATCACAGTACCTGTACAGTATCCTGAACACCACCATGCTGGATTCACAAGTTCATAGACATAGTAATTGCCTGGACACGCTTTCACTCTGATGGGTTTAGACTTGTAATCACAGCAGTCACTCCAATAAGACCCTCCACAGACCTCCCTGATCACCACTCCATCCTCTATCTGAGGGTGAGGATCATTGAGCCACAGATTGATATCTGTGTTACAGCTGTATGAATTAACACAGGTCTCTGGCATCCGGATGTCCATTCCATAGTAGAAAAGCCGGTACCAGCCATTCCAGGAGAAAGATTCATCACAAATGTCACCTCCACTTTCATTGTTGGCTCTCCAGGGACGATCCAGAGACTCATAGTTGTAGCAGGGATCACTGCTGATGCTTTGGAAAGCAACTAGCATGGAGTTTGCAAAAGTACTGTTAAAATTTATTACATCCTAAAGAGCATAAGAGTTTTATAATACCATAAGAGCAATTATGATGATTAATTACATAATTTCGAGCAAGTATATTCTAATCAGTGGTGTACTGTCAGGCTAAAACGGGGCATGTCTGTAGCTGACAGAACCCTGTAGAACGGGGCTTCATATGACAAAAGCTGTGCTAATAAGTTTTAATCTGAGAAAAAAATGTTTTCATATACATTTTTAGTTTACATAATTATTAAACAAATTGCCTAAAGTGTGATTTGAGCAATTGTATAACAAAGAAATCTAGGTGCTATTGATCTGTAACATAACCTACTATACAGAATGGATAATGAACTGTACACCACTGATTCTAACTAGTTAAAACATGCTTATTTTCATAAAACAAAAGATGTATGTCAAATTATCTAATAGTTAGAGCATTTACACGTTATACTGACATAAAACATCCAAAAGATAAGATTTAATATTGTACCTGCACAGTACATCGGCCCTGGAGCTGATATGACGGGTTTGACTAATTCATAGACGTAATAATCTCCTGGACAGGCTTTGACTCGGATGGATGAGGAACTGTAGGCGCCACACTGATTGGAATACCAGAACCACTCCCACCCTGAACTAGTTCCCAGGACTTCACGGGTCACCACTCCATCCTCAAGTGTTGGATGAGAACCGCTGAGATACAGTGCAGTTTGACCGCCACATCCAGCATTTCTCACACACCACTCAGACATCTGGGCACTTTCTCCATTCAGATACAGCCGATACCAGCCACTCCATTCAACAAGAGTGTCATCATATCCAGAGTACTGATATGGGCTTTGCCGTATATCTCTCCAATATTCATCAAGAGTGTTATAATCATAGCATGGATCAGTTGTAGGTTCTGAGAGAAAAAGAAAAAAGACTCATTCACTGAGGTGACAAACACAAGAGTTCAGGTAAACATCTAACATCTGTGTCTGTATGAAAGAGAAGATATTGGGATGGTGAAATGAGGATGAATTAAATACTTAACTTACAAAAAGCGTTTCCTTTAAATCCCTCTCTCAGTAATTTAAAAACAACTGACCCTTAATCTCAAGGAACAGTATATTTGCTTTCACCACATAGAAATGACAAATTTATACTTTGTTTTGGAACTTTGATGATAAATGCTAGATTCAAATATTATTATTTTCCCATTGAAATAAAAACATAAAAAGGAAACAACATTCAAGATCCTCCTCAGATAATTAAAGAGTGTCATGCTGTATGTACGAATAATTAAAAATAAACAAATTAATAAACAACAGTATAAATGTAAAGGACAAATAAAGTTTTTCCCATCCAGACCGCAATCTACTCTACATTCAGTGCATTCCCTCGATAGACCGAAAATACATTTTCTTTATTTTCAATATATTTGTAATATATCATATTTCTTATCATCCTATCATTTACACGTCTACTATTGTCTCTCGTTTGGTCTCTTTTAGTCTCTCTCTCTCGTTGGGTTTTAGGTCCTGTTCCTGTTCAGACCAGCAGGAGAAGACTGGTGTTACTGTTCTGCTGTCAATCATGGATCATCCCACCTGTTACTCCATTCACCTGTTCATCATTATTACCTCATTATCTACAGTACATGCACCTGTTTTCTTCAGTTATTCTCAGCCAGAGGTGTTTCCAAACAACGAAACACAGTTTCTATAGAAAACTTATTTTGTTTTATATTGTTTTGCTTTATTTCCAGATGTTTGACTCAATCGTGGGTTTCCTCTTACGTCATACTCTGGGTTCTCTTATGAGAGGTTCTCTCGTATTGCGTAATTTGCTTACGCTACAGGTAAAGTCATCTTTTCTCGAGATATGAAGCCAAAAATGATCCTTAAAGGAGCTGTATGTAAGATTGTGGCCAAAAGTGGCACTGCATTCACTTTCAAATTACTGTAGAGCGGTGTATCCCCTCCCCCTCCTCCCTGACTCAAGGTTGCCAGATAGGCTGCAGGATCCCGCAGGAATGTGACGAGCTGCAGCTGTGGTAACTAGAGCAGAGCTGGCAACCCGGATGCTGCAACACTACTGACTTCGTGATTGGTAGATAGGTGGAGGGTGGAGCATCAGACCAAAACACAACATCAACATCAGTTGAGGGCTGCAACTGCACTTTTTAAATGACAATATGCTGGTCGGACAACTGTTGTCAGTGATATAAGTATTTGAAATGTACATGATTTCTTAATGTCTAGTGACATATCAGGGCCATTTTATGATTAATTGAAATAAATTTCTTACATACAGCTCCTTTAATTTTGTATTTTTTGTCAACGCAGTGCAGCAGCTAGCAGACCTAGAGCAGGCTGTCTAGCGTGCTTATTGGCTGCCTTGCGGCTACTGCAGCAGCCTACCACTGAGCCTCGCGTGACGTCGCGCCCTCTACGCGTCACAACCCTGCCAGAATGGGTGTGGCTAAGCGTATAAAAGAGAGTCTCGGAGGCTGCTACCCTGATTTTCATCTCTTCAGCGAAGCTCTACGCATCGCTGGATCCAGCCACCATCGAAACCAGCGACCAGCAAGCAGAGGAAATCTGAGGAAGCCGGTCGTCTTCGCCGCCTTCAGCCTTCCGTGCCTGCTAAGCTATCCGGCGACGAGTATCCTTTGCTCTTTTGCATTGCTGTGCGTGTTCGCCGCCACGACACACACTTTTCCTAAAAGAGTGCAAGGCGTTTTTATCAAAAGGCCTCGCACTTCCTGTGGCTCGTGCCGAGCCCCGCTCAGCACCGGAGACCGCCACGTCATCTGCGCTCTCTGCTTGGGCCCAGACCACGCAGCCCTCGCTCTTGCTTCAGGAGGCTGTGTCCACTGCGTGGACTCGACTCAAGGCCTTCAACGCCGAAGCTGTCACTCCGCCCTCTCTTGGACCGCGCAAGAAGAAGCGCCGTTCTCAAAGACCACCGGAGCCCGAGGTCGCCGTGAAACGCTCGTCGGAGCCCCTCCCTCGAGCTTCTCTCTCCCCTTCTCCGCCCCCCCTCCCGGAAGCGTAGCTGCTGGCTTCGGCCCTCACTGCCGTCGTGTTAGGTGACGAGGCGGAAGGAGACGCCACAGGTGACAGCTGCTCCATCCTGGCCTCGGACAGTGAGGAATGGTCGGGTTCTTATCACTCAGCCTCCTCCTCGATCCAGGAATCCGGCCGGACTCGGGCTGGCGTGGACGCAGAGCTGGTGTGCCTCCTGACTAAGGCCGTCGACCAGCTCGGCCTTGAGTGGTCACCGCCGAAGGAGCCCGCGCCTAACAGACTCGACGGCTCCTGTCTACATCACCGCCACCACGTACCCGCTTCCAGGTCTGCACCCATTTCTGCCGGAGCTCCACACGGAGCTTTCTAAATCGTGGAATGCACCATTCTCCGCGAGACTCCTCTCAAATGTCTCCTCGACGCTCTCCCAGGTGGATGGCGCCGTCGAGAAGGGATACAACTCTATTCCCCCAGTGGAGGAGGCAGTAGCAGCGCACCTTTGTCCGCCCTCCACGAGATGGCGCTCAAAGTCTGCCCTCCAGTCTAAAGCTTGCAGGACCAAGTCAGCTCTTGTCGGCCGTGTGTTTTCTGCTGCCGGACAGGCCGCGTCCGCCCTGCACTCTATGGCTGTTCTCCAGATCCTTCAGGCCGATCTCCTCCGCGAGTGGGACGAGAAGTGCACGGATCCGGCCGTCGTCACGGATTTGAGGAGCGCGACGGACCTTTCCCTTCGTTCTACAAAATCCACGGCTCAGGCTATCGGGAGATGCATGGCCTCGCTCACCATCACAGAGAGGCACCTCTGGCTGACGCTTGCCGACATGAGGGAGTCCGAGATCGTCGACCGCTTCTCTGAAGTACAAAAGACCTCGCAGGCCATGAACTTCTTCCTGCCTCGACGCTCCAGCTCAGCTGCAGGCCGCTCACATGACCAGCCTCCTGCGCAAAGCTCTACTCAGCATCCAGTTCAGTCTCCAACTTTCGCAGCGGCGACAGGCCGGCCGCCCTAGATCGCGCTCATCCAGCCATCACAGGCTGCCTCCCCCGCGGGGACCTCGACCTAAGATCTCGCTGAAACCTGAGCATGCTAAGCCCTCCAAGCAGCAGCAGGGAAGAAAAAACGGCTGGGTCCCGCAGAGGCCAGACCACCATCAAAGTTTTTCGCTCTGTCAGTCCCC